AAAAGTTGGGGTGGGCGTCCGTGCGTGGGTGCGTGTGGGCAGCGGTGGCGAAACTCCCGGCCGGCCCGCCAACACCAGTGACGATTATCTGAAACGGTTCTGGGCCTCGCCTAGGTCGACTCAGTCTCAAATGAGTGCTTGGCGAGATGTGTAAATATCGCCACGCGGGAGACAAAAGGGGGCCGGACGTGGTGCTGGCCACCTACTCCTCGTGTGCGCAGTTTTGGCCTTTATAGGTGCTCCCAAACAGAACCTGTCCCAACAGTCTGTTAAGGCTACACGGGGGGATTTGTCTTTGTCTTTTCTCCTCAATGTGCACCTAGCCTGGTACAACGCCGTGGGGACGTCACCGGCACTTAGTGACGAACGCCCGTTTATTGTTGTGCTAGTGTCCTCGGGGAGGGGTGGTGTCGCGGCTAGCGCACTTCGCCACGAACCCGGCGACCCGGGGTGGATTCCCGCTCGCGACCAATAACATTGGGCCAATATTTGATCCGGTCCTGGGTCTCCCCTAGGTTGGCTCAGCCTTAAAATGAGTACCTGATTCGGTGGTGTGTAAACATCAGCACCGGGGAGACGAAGGCGGACAGGCGTCGTGCTGCCCACACCACTCGCTTTTACACCTTGTCACCTTCATAGCTGCTCATGAAACAGCACTTGCCACCGATATTCAATATAGGGGCTACATTGGAGATCTATTTGTGCAATCTTCCACTCACTCACCGCCATTCCACCTCTTCAGCCGCTCAGATATTCCTGACATCCTCACTCATCGCGAGTTGCCACCCACAGCCCACCCTTTAGACTCTGACATCCCTGGGATTTGATCCCAACACGGAAACGAGCGTTATAATAAATCGTAATCCACGAGCAGCGGTAATAATTCAGACCCTCACTCATTAACAATGGGTTTGATGAGAGGTGGGGGGGGGGGTATAATGATGTTTTTAAATAGATAAATTCTCAAAAACACGGCCCAGGATATGCAATACTTTTTTCAAAAGCCTTCACAAAGTCTTTTCAATATCTGACAAAGTTGAGAAACCTTGCCTGAAACAGTGCAGGGTTGTTAAAGACTTTCATACACAAAAAACTCCTCCAAGCCTCTTTCGTATTCGTCTCAGAGCACATTCACCTTCGGCGGGGCACACGTCTCGCTCGACGACCCGCAATTACCGTGCCATCTTCAAAAGAAAACCGCTGAATTTCTCCTAACCCTTCGGCTTCTCAACGTCTCACCTTAAACAAAAAAAATATAATTTGCGCAGCACCGCTGTTTTTTTTTACACTCGGTCCTTTTTAATAAATGTGAATATAAATAAATATTAAACGGCCTGCGACCCGGAGAGAGCGCGTGGTCACAAACGTTCTAATCTTCGGTTCGCGCGGTCACCCGGTGCTGAATCTGGCACGACGGTGGTCCCACAACCACACCCCCTCCCCCCAAAATCAACCTCCGCCAAAACCAACCGCGTGCCCTCCTCTCTCTCTCTCTCCGGACCGCGCCCACGATGGCAACGAGTTTGACAGAGAGAGAGAAAGAGGGCCCTTCAGCCTTACAGCCCCCTGATTCTTAGAATCACACGTGCCATCCTCCCCCTCCACCCCCTACCCCCCCCCACGTCTCCACTGTTTTTTTCCGAATTCAATTCGTGGGGATTGCTGCCACGGTCGGTGTGAAGGTGAAGCGCGCGGGACACGTGATCCAGAGGTCGACCGTTCGAGTCGTTCTCTAGGCGCGGCTTGTGGATACAATGTCTCTAGTTTGTAAAATCTTCCCCCCCAGGCCACGCGTCCTCGCAGGAAGCATAAATGTGTGAATGTTGGCGCTGTGGATGTAGAGTAAATAGTCATTTGAGAGGCACAAAATCATGCTCGGATTGTGCTTAAAACATCTCCAATGCGCATTGCTATTTCATCTCCCGTTGTACATCGCTCCCCCGCACTCCCACCTCTTCCAAGAGATTTGAACATTGTGGAAGAGTAGCCCCAACAAAACCATTCGAGAGGTTCCTCTCTAGATCTAACCTCGAGCGGATGCCCTTGTGCCGGCAGCGACGTGAGCAAGGCACATTCAGGGCTGCACCTTTACCATTACCAATGAAACCCATTCGGTAACGACGGGATGGAAAGACGGGATATCTGTATGTATGTTGAACTTCTTTCGCACCGTACGTAGCCGACCGTGTTAAGCGGAGGTGACAACAGTGATGCTTATAATGATAACAATCATGATACGGATCTTTCTGATAATGATGATGTTGACGCAGACAACAACGATGATGATATTGATTAAACTGATCATTGTGCTTCGGCACAAACGAAACACAAAACAACAGTTTTAACGAAATTCGTTTTCAATCTAGATTTCAAAGTGCATAGCTCCAGTGGCTTCCTAATACCGGACGGAAGAGCGTTCCAGACGGCAGCAGAAGCACATGTCCAAACGTGACTCGGTGCGTGGAATCTTTGGCGAATGCGCGATCGCGTTGCGCGCTTGCCGGCTAGCTCACGCGCGCCGTGCGCCCGTGCGCGTGTGTGTGGTGCGTGAAAATCTATCTCGGTTTTTTTTTCCTTTATTTTTTTTTTGGAAGCGAGGAGCTTGTTTTGTCGGGTGCCAGGCATTACGGCCGTATCGCAACGGCTCTATAAATTCTTCGGCTCGGCTGCACCTTGGGATAATGAGGTCACAACACTCGGCTAGGTTTAACGCCACCTGCGCTCACTCACCCGAGCAATTAATTGCGACTGAAAATGAAGCTCATAATTTGCCAAGCAGCAAAATAGATTTTTTTTCTGTCTTTCTTTCTTTCTTTCGTTCTGAGAGGTCCTTCCTATGCGTGGGTGGGGTGGATTGGTGGGTGGCGACTTAATCCCCGAGGCGAGAGATATGCACAGTGCGTGGTGCGTGCGTGCACAAACGTGCATATGAGTTACAAAAATGGACAAAAAATAAAACCTTCACTTTGGCACCGTGATCACGAGATCTGGGCGTGACAGGTTGAATTCCAGCTTTCGCTCGTAACAATCCATTGCTCCCCGATGTCGAAAAGGCTGCGGCGCTCCCCGTTATAACATTATCCATCAGGTGCGAGTCACGGGTCATTAAGATGCTTTGATTTGAGACATCTTTCTTGCTTTATCGCACTTAGCCGGCGGTTTGCCCTGCCAGAACATTCGGCTCACGACGTCGCCTTCCTCGGCGGGAGAAGCACGGCTCTTGATCCTCCCCCCCTCCCCCGACTCGTTAGCGTCCCAGCGCGCGGCGGCGGGAGTCACGTGCTGCAAGTCGAAATCCCGGATTTCGGGATAATCCACTCCTCCCCCTTGAGGTGTTCACGTAGGGCAAATGAGAGCCCTGGACATTGGTGTTTCGTTGATAATTGGCAGAGAAAATACTTTGCCATGTTTGTCTTTTTTTAATTACTGTTAATTTAGTGCACCGTTTTAAATGCTTGAAAGTTCAGGACCCCCCCCCACACCACCCCCCACCCCCCCCCCCCCCCCCCCCCCCCCCCCCCCCCCCCCCCCCACCCCCCCCCCCCCCCCCCCCCCCCCCCCCCCCCCCCCCCCAGTTGGAAGGTTTCTAAATCCACCTATTAATGAAACACGTTTTTCAAACGTGCTTCAGTATGACTGGCTCCTTCCCTGTCGCGTTACCTTAATGTGCACGTACAGCCCCTTTTGGGTCAATAAAGTGCAGGGTGAGGGCCAAACAACGCCTCCGATCCGCTTGGAAAGCCGTTATTTAACTACACTTCGCCCCGCTCGTCAGCGCGGGTTGGTGAAGGCGGGGAGCATTGAGGTACAGCACAACATTTCCTGCGCAGCCGTCTGCTGGCGACGGCGTAGCAAGATGTGTGTACGCGGTGGTCCCCGGTGCAAAGCGCTATCCAGGCTCAGGACTGCTTGCTTTGCTTCGAAGATCGGAAAATATTTGGTCATCACCTCCGATTAGCACGGTGGGCTGCGAACGGTGCGACAGAAGTTCAACACACATACATCACCGGTGCAAAACTCTAAAAAGCAGCCCAATTCAACAAAACAAAATCCATGTTAATGAACGTGGATGCCAATTCTCGCAACACCCCTCACTCGCTACCAACCACGCGCGTGCAGCTCCAAATCTCCCAAATATGGAAATGACTCACCATAACGCTCAATTAGGAAATACATTGCAGAGCGACGTTGCCCAACTGCCGCTAATTGTAGGCGCACTCTTAGATTCGGGGCTGCATCCGTTTCATGCCGCGCAGGCCACGGGGGAAGGGCGGAGGGGGGGGGTCCCCTTGGCTAGACGGCAGTGAGCAAGGCATCGGCATCGTCGAGATGGACATCGTGATGCGATGTCACGTTCGTTCGACGCTTCAAAACACCGAGGAGGTTACGCGACGCCCCCCCCCCCCCACTCGTCGGTGCCGGTCACTCCCCTTCGGTCGCCGAATCGGCACGGCGGCACCACCCGCGTCAAAGCGCTCGGGGCGGGCTGGCGGCTCTCACTCGCCCCGTGCAGGTGGCGAGCGAATCGCGCCCACCCCCGCCCACACCGAACCGTCCGTCACACCCAGGCCCCGCGGGCGGCAACAAAAGGCCGGGGCGATGGAGAGGTCGGATCGGTGCCTCTTGGGTGGGCATTGAAGGGTGCAACGGGGGGTGGGCAGGATTGCTAAACTCGTGGGCAGGCGCCAGAAATAATGTATCTGTCTTTGTGCTCCATTCTACTCCTCCTCCTCTCGGTCCTTTCCAAATGTTGTTATGGTTATTGTTGTTATCATTATTGTTGTTGTTATATTTCCGATTTATTCTCGGACGCACGGCTGGTTGCTGTAATGGTTATACATTTTATCGTGATCGCTGCGTTCTAATTAATGTTTTTTTTCTTATCGTATGCACTTTCGTTTTAATAACGCTCACAAACGCACACGCGCATACACCCGCAACCTACATACATACACGCCGCGCACGCACGCATTCACACACACACACACACGTGCGTCTAGATGCCGAGGATCCCGGGCCGTCCGACTTCCTGGAGATTGTCGTCGCTCCGAGGAACATGAGCGTCGTCGCTGGAGCTGGCGAAGTGTCACTCGAGTGTGTTCCCTACGCACGGTGAGCCGAGCACCACCCCGTAGATTGACTGGTCACGCATTCGTTCGTTCGTTTGCCTGTTTGTTTCCATACTCCCTATCCCCGGGGCCACGTGGCTCACAATTCAAGAGTGCTGAGCCCAGCACCGCTGAGATGCTGGGTTCAAATCTATAACTCGGCCGCCCTTGATTGCTACCGGGTTCTGAAGATGCATTGATTTGAATGATGGCCATCACGTTAATTTTGGTTCACCACTCGCCGGTGTTGCTGCCCTGTCAAACAATGCTCTCATATTTAAAACTTTTTTTTTTACCAGGTAAGACCCATTGAGCTACATAGCTTTTTTGCAGAAGCGACCTGGCCACAAGTGATATCCCAACGAAGTGGATTATCACGTAGCAATATATAACAGCCAAATACTATAGGCGCATATGTCTAAATGTGGAGAGAAAAAAAACTTTCGGACTCAGGAGAGAGGAAAAAAACACGCAATCACGGGGAGAGGGACATGCAAACTCCCAATATGCAGGCCTCAGGGTCGGGATCGAACCCAAGACTTCCTGCATACGTACCTAGCGAGGTAGCTAACACCTCGCACCGGGGCACCATGCCGAGAGAGTAGGGAATCGTTGACCCCATACTGTGTGGAACAGAAGTAGCCTTGAAATAGCCGCTTCCACGGGCCCTTCTCTCACACAGGATTGCATTGCTCTACGAGATCTACAAACACAGACACAATTTCAACCGAGAAGATGGTTTCAAATTAAGCAACCATTGGAAAGATGTTCTAAATCGAACCAAACATTAAACTAATTTTCAATGGTACAGTATATTTTTCAAGTAGTGGTACCCCAAACTTTCGCAGCTCTTAAATTCCCTTTTCACACCATCAATAGGTAAACTCCCCCTCCCCCCCTCGCCAACCGGCATGTTCACCCGCATGTACACCACCTGTACACCGTTCATCATGCTAAGTCGGCCAATCAAATGCTAATTTTTATGCTAATTCCTTTGTCAAGGCAACTTGTTTCCTCGCGCACAGCTTAAAGGTCGCGGTCTGAGCGTGGCTGTGTTTCACTCCAGCACTGTCCTCGAGACAGCCTGATCCCTTCACCTGATGAAGGCCGCTTGTGTTGTGGCCGAAACGTCGTGAATTTTGTTGTTTTATCTTTTTACCTACGTGACTTTACCGAATAGAACCAAAGAGTATGGATCCTTGCAGTCACGAAAGCTTCAAATCTAGAATAAAGAGAAAGCCCTGGTTCTCAGCGATCGGTGCGCAGCGTCCTGCGAGCCCCCGAATCGCCATGGCTGTCCGTAAATCCCGTTAAACATCCTCAGTTGCAGTTTCATTCTCCTTCACGACAATCCACCCCCCCCCCTTTCTCCCCCCACCCCCCCCCCCCCCGTCCGCGGCTTCATAAACTCCGAGCTCTGCGTTCACAAACCACGACGGGGGGGGGGGGGGTCTGAAATTCCGCCGCCTGTTCGAATGCGCTGCGGAGGTTTGGGGGGGGGTCCTAGGTCCTACGCTCGTGATACTAATTAAAATCCATCTTCGCCATCGTTCCGTGGTGTCTAGGGTTCTGATGATGGCGAGACCAATCCGCTGCGCCGTGCTATTGTTATGTCTGCTTCCGCTGGGCCGGTCGGCCACCGCCAAATGAATAGCAATTAATGGGAACGCCCCCCCCCCCTCCATTATTTATTCGTAATTTCAAACAACTGGCGCGCCGCTGTGAGAAAGTGCTGGAGTGCGTAAAACCTTCTATGCTGCGGCCAGCCCGCAAAAAATAAAGACGCACCACGGTAATAGTCATTAAATATGCATGCAAACCATCTCCGCTCATTAAATTATTTCAACGTTTTACACGAATGCGATTTTTTTTACGCTTTGTCGAATGCCTGCGAAAAATTGTGTCAGCATCGTGGGGGGGGGGGTGGGAGGTCCCCCCTTTTTTTCCCCTAGCCAACGGGAAGGCACCATATGGGCAACGGGCGTCACTCTAATTGCTTGCCAGAAACTCTTGACATCCAAAATGCATGCGCCCGGGCATTTCTCTCTGCGGCGGCGGTAATCTCCCAGAAAGCGCTCGCGCGCCCTTAAATCTCTTCGCCGGTGACTTCTCTCCCGTCGAGAAGAAATTCTTGGATCTGGCGGCCGAGCGGAAGAGAACGGCGCGCGCCGAGGCTAATGGACTCGCGCGATCGAGTCGGCGCTCGTTACCGTGAGCTGTCGTGCGATCTGATCATGTGATTACGCGGGAGAGCGAATTGTTTTATTTATTTCATGTACGTTTTTATTGATTTTCTGTTTAGATTTTTCTTTGGTGGGGTGGGGGGGCGGAGGTGGGGGGGGGGGGGGCGGGTACGGGTTTTCGCGGGGCAAGTGGAGGAGAGACAGGAGCTAAGCAGTGAGCTCCCGTGTTTCACCCTGGGCTTTGCGTCCCTCGGATCTCTGCTGACGTTTGGCAAGAAGAGAATGCGCGCCCGTTCACAAAACTTCGGGGGCAAATACAGCGATTCGACACGCTGGGTTTTGCGACGCTGGAAGTAAAATAAACAGGTTTTTTTTTTTAACGACACGCACCCAGGATCTGGCCAAAGTAAGGGAGCGAGGCTAGCCGTCAGTCGCGAATGATATCTGAACCGGTACGGGAGTGACGCCTCTTCGCCAACTGGTACTGACTGCAGCGTGGTGAAGTGTGGCCAAACTAACCCCATTACCGCTAAAGCAGGGGGAGCCCTTCATGTAGCAGTTGATTGACAAGGGAAAATGTGACATTTATTATTATTTGTATGACACTAACCACCACACACGACCTGGGGACAGCAAATCAGCGCGTCCCTTGCGGCGAGGTAAAGCGTGCGTACTCCCACATCTTCCAAGACGTCTGAGCAGCATGGAAAAGTAAGTAAAACATATCCTTCATGCAGCGGGGGCCTCTCTGAAGCTCCCTTTAGCAGGGAAGCCCTTCTGCCAGCAGTGTCGTGAGCGAGCAGTTGCGGGGCTGCACCTTTACCCTTTAAAAAGCTTTTTTTTTAACTCACTCGCCCCCATCGCTCTGTGTGCCCCCTCCCACCGGCCGTCAACCGCCAGGCCACTGGATCGAGTGACCGTCACGTGGAGGCACAACGGTGGCCCCGCCATCACGTCCGGCGTCGGCGATTTCGGCCGCCGCCTCACCGTCACGTCCCCCTCCCCAGCCGACGCGGGCCGCTACGACTGCGAGGTGACGCTGGGCCCGAGGGGCCCGGCGGCCTCCGGCGGGGCCGGCGCGGCGGCCGGAGTGGCCGCGGCGGCGCACCCTGCTGTCCGCTCGGCATACCTCACCGTGCTGGGTGAGTCTCGCGGCTTGCTACCTGCCCTGGTTTCGCCAGAGTTGTTCACTCCTCTGCTTTGAGGAAGACCCATTGACCGAAATGTCACCGATAATAGACTTTTTCCTCTTTCATCATCATTATTGCAGTTTCAGTTTTTTTTATTTTGGTATAGCCCTGTGAGCCATTCGGCTCTTGAATCGGGTGCAACCACAAAAAAAACAAAAAAACAAAAACACGAACAAGAAAAACATCTTAAAGTGACTATGTGACTGTGCAAACAGAAAATACATGGAAAAAAACCAGCAAAATATTCCTGAAAAAAAGCACCGTACAATAACGCTGTGTGCAAAAAATCCCAGTGGGATGCAAGTCAAACAACAACAACAACAACAACCACAAGACAACTTAGATTAAGGCCATCAGTCTAACTCCGTACTACAACAAAACAAACATGTCCAAACCAAAAAACTTTTCGAAATCACCAAAAAATAAAGCCATAATTGCAACGTAATAGTGATCATAGGGACTGTGACCGAATTTTTACAATAAACTACATAAATAACATGTAACACCAAATCCTAGAGCCATAGCTGGCTTCATGAGTTACTCCACAACAATAGAAGCATCAGTCGGAGTATCATGTTTTTCAATGTACCTTTAAGATCAGCACGCTAAATCAAAATACAGATAATACTTTGCAGCGTCATCCGGAGCGAAACATTTTATTTTATTTCATGCCAATGAATAGCAGTGGCAGCTAGGGGTGTACAACTCCTCTAGAGCAGTTTTGAGAGAAGATCTCATTGGTAGCGATTCAAGTTGCAGTTTATTGGCAATAGCATTCCAGACCCTGGGGGCATCAATAGCAAAGGCCCTTCCTCCAGTTTTTGTACGTCAATAGGGAATGTGAAGCTGGTAAATGAGCGAAGACCTGAGGTCAAATTTGTTCTTTGAAACAGAGAGGAGATCCAGCAGGTAGTCTGCGGATTTTTTTTAAGTAAGTCGTGAATAAATAAGATCTGGTGCACAAGCCGTCGAACCTTAAGAGATGTTAATTTTGACCCAATATAGAGATCACAGTGGTGAGTCCTATGTGGGCAGTTCAATGTAAATCTTAAGGCCGAGTGATAGATGGAATCAAGCTTCTTCAGTACAGTACTTGGGGCTGATTTATACACGATGTCACAGTAGTCAAGTAGAGGCAGTATGGTAGCTTTTATCAATTCCAAACGGAACATTGGGGGGAAGAAGTGCTTGTGTTGATACAGAAAACCAATTTTTATTTTTGTCTTTTTACCAATATAATCAATGTGATCTTCAAAATTCAGTTTTTAATCCAGGATGACCCCAAGATACTTATAGATCTTGACTTGCTCTATTTGATAATTATTTAAGGAATGTAATTGGGGAAAAATAACTTCCTGCTTTAGTCCTGGTGATAAGCAGAGCACCTTGGATTTGGAGGTATTCAGGACTAGTTTAAGAGCATCTAGCTGAAGTTGTAGTTTGTTGAAATCATCCTGTAGCTAAGCAATCACGTCATCCGGAGAGCAGCCAGCAGTAATCAGTATCGTGTCATCTGCAAAAAGATTTACCCTGGAATGATCCAGGTCAGTGCCCAAGTCATTGACATAAAGAGAGAATAAAAGGAGGCCGAGGATGGAACCCTCTGGAACCCCTTTTGTTATCTTAACACTGTTTGACCTCCAACCATCTGTGAATACAGTTTGGGTGCGAGTAAAAAGGGTAATTTTGGAACCATTTTACTGCGTTTTCGGAAAAACCGAGGCATATTAGTTTACTAAGCGGGGTGTTGTGGTCTACTGTATCAAAAGCTTTGGACAGGTCTAGAAAAAGACAGGCACAGTACTGCTTATTATCAAGGCTACTGTAAATGTGATTCAGAGAGTCTAATGCAGCAGACGTGGTGCTGTATTTTTTTGGAATCCACATTGTTTTAGATGTAGTAGATTGTTGGTGGACAGGAAACTGCTAATTTGGAAGGTCAATAATTTTTCAAAAGTTTTCATCAACGGGGACAAAATTGAGATAGGTCGGTAGTTATTTGGATCATCTTTAGGGCCCCCTTTGTGAAGTGGACGGACATAGGAATGTTTCCAGTCTAGAGGAACTGATGCTTCTATGATGGACAGGTTGAAAATATGGGCTATAGGTTTGTATGTTAGGTGACCAACAGTTAGTACAGCAAAGACGGGAATACTATCTCCTCCGGTAGAGGAGGGCCCTTTGAGGTAGGACAGTTGTTTCAGAACATTACTTTCATGGATTGGCTGGAAACTAAATTCGTTTAATGTTTGGACAGGGGTGTAGGAATTTGCATGAGCAGGGGTGACTCCCAATGCATTATCAAAAAGATTACCAGCTTCAGAAAAATGAAGGTTAAAATTGTCAACTATTTTTTTGGGATCTGAAAAATATTCCCGATTTCGGTTAAGCTCAACGGGCAGATTGTCTGTTTTGGATGCCTTTACGATACATTTGATTGTTTTCCAGAAAATCATGGCATTTCAATGTGATTCCAGGAGAGTGGAGGAAAATTAAGCATTTTTTGCATGCCGTATTTTTTTGACGCATCTATTCCTTAAAATCCTGTATTCTAGCCGGTCATTGGCCAAATTACCTTTCTGAGCACATGCCCAAGCCTTGTCGCTAGTTTTCATGAGCTTTGCAATCAAAGGATCAGACCATGGTGGGCGGTTGCCTTTAGTTTTAAATCTAACCAACGGAGCATGTTTGTTAAGAATTTGGAGAAACGTGTACCTGAAGGTCTCCCAAGCCGTAGTCAGGTTGGGTATATCACAGACCTTGTCGATATCCGAGTGAAGCACATCATTAGTAAATGCCTGAGTGCTGAATCTCATAGAGTGCTTCTCAACCAATTTAGGGGGGGCTTTGGGTCTGGCTGATGATCTCACCCCAAAAATGAAGGAGTGATCACTAAAGTTATTACCCAGAACACCAGTCAGTGTGAAATTGTGAGGGGCATTTGTCAATAGGACGTCAAGCAGAGATGACTGTCCCGGATTATTTAGGTTGGGTCTTGTTGGGACATTTATTAATTGAAACAGATTAAATTCATCCGTAAAATTTGTGGCCACGGCCGGCGGGTTTAGCCAATTCCAATTTCGATCACCCACTAAAACTATTTCACTTTTAGGGAGGCCCCCAAAAAGCTCTCTCAGTGCAGATGCAGCTTCAACATCATTCCCACTAGGTGGTCGATAGCAGCACACTACCAATATCTGTTGATTATTTGGGAGAATTAATAATGAGAGCCAGACCTTCAAAGCAACATTTTGTAAACAAGGAGTAGCTAGTGAACATGCAATAGTGTTACGAACATAGATGGCAATTCCACCTCCTGTACATCCTCGGTCAAGCCGAAAAAGGTTGTAGTTGTCAATCGCAATCTGCAAGTCATTGATGGCAGGAGTGAGAAATGTTTCTGTTAGGCAAAAAATGTCCGGGTCAAGATTTGCCACTTCTAGTTTTAGTTGACTTAATTTAATCACAAGCCCTCTGATGTTGACATGTAGAACACCAACACCTTTCCTGACAGAAAAATCTACGGAATTATACGAGTTCTTTTCATTTGGGCCAGGATGAAGCTCAATACCACCCAGAAGTAAAAAAAAGTAGAAATAATAGTTTGCACAAGTATTTTCTGTGAAAGGATGAAGAGCGGCAAACCTTGGACTAATAGCAGTAGCTAGCAGATGGTGTTATTTTTAAGAGCAAAATGAAGTTTGGAAGGAGTGCTGGTGAAGTAATGGGACAAAGATAGGGTTTAAAAGGATACAATGATGGAGTGTAGAAGTGTCTATGAGCTGTTTCATTAGCAGGTGTAGTGGCAAATCGAGCAACAAATATGGACGCAAAGTAACGAGGGTAGCTGTTTGTAGAGTTGAGTGTGGCACTAGATATGGCCGGGAGGGACAACAGTAGGATACATAGCAGGAGAATTGCCATCTCTAAAATATCCGGGGTAAACACATCATCATCGATCGGCCATGGTCAATCCACTGCTGGATGAAGACCTCGCAAAGCTGCCCCCCCCAACCACCTCTCACGATCTTGCGATGTAATCATTCGCCGAGCACCTGCGCACGAATTCATTTCGACGTCGCTCATCCCCTTGGTGGATGCCCTCTTGGACGCATGCCGTGCCTTGGCTGCCACTCTGCTATTATTTTGGACCATTCCTCTTCAGGGCTGTCTTATTGACCAATGCGTTGATTGTTTGTTCTGTGTGTTTGTGATCCACTGCCAGCCCAGTATCACTAAACAATTTACTTGTAAAGTACAGTGAGGGAAAAAAATATTTGATCCCCTGCTGATTTTGTACGTTTAACCACTGACAAAGAAATGATCAGTCTATAATTTTGATGGTAAGTTTATTTGAACAGTGAGAGACAGAATAACAACAACAAAATCCAGAAAAAACGTATGTCAAAAATGTTATAGTTTGATTTGCATTTTAATGATGGAAATAAGTATTTGACTCCCTCTCAATGAGAAAGATTTCTGGCTCCCAGGTGTCTTTTATACAGGTAACGAGCTGAGATTAGGAGCACACTCTTAAAGGGAGTGCTCCTAATCTCAGCTTGTTACCTGTATAAAAGAAACCTGTCCACAGAAGCAATCAATCAATCAGATTCCAATCTCTCCACCATGGCCAAGACCAAAGAGCTCTCCAAGGATGTCAGGGACAAGATTGTAGACCTACACAAGGCTGGAATGGGCTACAAAACCATTGCCAAGCAGCTTGGTGAGAAGGTGACAACAGTTAGTGCGATTATTCGCAAATGGAAGAAACACAAAAGAACTGTCAATCTCTCTCGGCCTGGGGCTCCATGCAAGATCTTACCTCGTGGAGTTGCAATTATCATGAGAACGGTGAGGAATCAGCCCAGAACTACACGGGAGGATCTTGTCAATGATCTCAAGGCAGCTGGGACCATAGTCACCAATAAAACAATTGGTAACACACTATGCCG